TAGAAATGCACATTTGATAGTAGCTCGAGTTAGGATGCAGAGGTAAATATTTGTTCATTATCAAAATCATTAACATTTGTAAAAATTTTAGCAACCTCAGTTTTATATGGTTAAATTTATTCTGACTGATTTTTTTTTTTTTTTTTTTTTTTAAGCTTGGTCTCCCATAGTAGCATACATTTAAATCATGATAAACACAGTTAAAACCACACATATAGCACCTCAATCCAATGGTAAAAATATAACGTGAGTTAGGATGCAGAGGTAAATATTTGTTCATTATCAAAATCATTAACATTTGTAAAAATTTTAGCAACCTCAGTTTTATATGGTTAAATTTATTCTGGTTTTTTTTTTTTTTTTTTTTTTTTTTAAGCATTGGTCTCCCATAGTAGCATACATTTAAATCATGATAAACACAGTTAAAACCACACATATAGCACCTCAATCCAATGGTAAAAATATAACGTATGTTATTTAGGTAGCCTATTTGTATGAAAAACAGTAGTCTAAAAACATTCAGTATAAACGCACACATGCTATAGCTTAATCACAAATACGTACTATAATTTTAATACAGGAGTAATGGTAATTAAGTGTGAATATCCCAGGTTTCTCCAACAATACCTTAGTGCAGTGAGTGTTACTACAGTAAATCCATGGTAAATGATGGCGATGTGTAGATTGAAAAGCCTTCTGACTGTCTCGTTGCACACAGTGTTTCTCCTGTTTGGCTTTAAACTAGTTTAAAATACTAAATCATTTGTGTTCATCGCTGAATTCAAGCAGTGGATCTCACAGCACTGTTTGGTGCTGGCGTGACCGAGTAAACGCATCTGCTCTAGTGAGCTCGCGCCGCGCAACAGTTTGAACTTTGATCCGATGGGATAAACGGGTCTTGTGTGGCGCGCTTTAAATGAGTTGCGCTGTTTCGTTCCGCTTTTGGCGCATAAACATTATATCGAACATTTATCGAACATATCGTTTTATCGAGGAAAATTATATCGCGATAATTATCATTATCGCCCAGCCCTAATTCAGACTGGTATCTATGACAGTATATTTACTAAACAATATATGAACAAACAGATTTGCAATACACAAAGGAAATTAGTTCTTTAAAAAAAAAAAAGGAGAACTTTTCGTAAATCCTATAGTTCTTTAAGTTTTTGGTAAATACACAAAATAAATTCTAAAACAAAAAATAATACTAAAACTGAAAATAATACTAAAAATAATAATAGTTAAAAAGTTACTAAGCAGACAAATATCAGTTAAAAGATTAAATCAGATCAGTTAAATCAGATTAATTTGAATGAGAAAAGAATCCTGAGTGTGTACATTAATAAAGGCATATGATTATAATTTGCAATTCCATCACAATTTTAAATCCATTACAAAAAATATTCACAGCTACAGAAACATCTACTGTAATATCATAAAGTTTTAAGTTAAGTAATTGATAGATATAAATTAAAAAAATACAAAAAATATATATATAAACAGAAAATATGCATATACAGGTGCATCTCAATAAATTAGAATGTCGTGGAAAAGTTCATTTATTTCAGTAATTCAACTCAAATTGTGAAACTTGTGTATTAAATAAATTCAATGCACTCAGACCGAAGTAGTTTAAGTCTTTGGTTCTTTTAATTGTGATGATTTTGGCACACATTTAACAAAAACCCACCAATTCACTATCTCAACAAATTAGAATATGGTGACATGCCAATCAGCTAATCAACTCAAAACACCTGCAAAGGTTTCCTGAGCCTTCAAAATGGTCTCTCAGTTTGGTTCACTAGGCTACACAATCATGGGGAAGACTGCTGATCTGACAGTTGTCCAGAAGACAATCATTGACACCCTTCACAAGGAGGGTAAGCCACAAACATTCATTGCCAAAGAAGCTGGTTGTTCACAGAGTGCTGTATCAAAGCATGTTAACGAACAATTCATCATTAACACATTGCTGAACTGTCAGCCTTTGCTCATGTGCAACAGGGCTCCTCACCTCTCGGCTGAGTCTGTCGAAGACGTATTGCTGTGTGACCACCTCTGTCCAGTTCCTGTTCACCTCCTCGCCGAGATGGGTGTCTTCGCAACCCTTCAGCTTGACGAGAGCAGTCACCTGTGTCTTAAAAGCCTCATGACTCAAGCTGTTCATCTTTTCTCCGAAGCTCACCAGAAACTCCTCAATCTTTGTCTCCACCAGCTCAGTGCTAGAATGCAGAAAGAGAGTTTTGCTCATTTAACACCACTCTGAAATATTTCAGAGCCCAAATTAATGGTTTACATTATTTACTATATGTGGAAGCCTTTTTTTGCAGCATACAGTAAACTGAACTCGAGAGAAAACACTTTTAAAATGCACTACTGTTTTAGCATATCAGGGTTCCCACACTTACTGGCCTACACTACCATTAAAAATTATTTTGAAAGAAGTCTCTTATGCTCACCAAGGTAACATTTATTTGATAAAAATACATGAATACATTAATAATACATGAACACATTTTCAAACGCAATTTATGTGAAGCTGAACTTTTAACAGCCATTACTCCAGTCTTCAGTGTCACATGATTATGATACATTTCTTATTTCTTATTACTAATGTTGAAAACAGTTGTGCTGCTTAATATTTGTGGAAACTGTCATAATTTTATCATAATCCTAGTAATTTCTTTCAGAAAAACAAACTTACTGACCCCAACAGTAGTTCTATTTTTCCAGTGGTTTGTGAAGATTTGTAAAAGTAATTTAATAGAAAACAATTTTTTTTTCTAGCTAAAGAAATATTTTACAATGAAAATAATTTATTGCAAATATCAACTACATAAATTTCTAAGTTTCTATGACTTATGACTTTTTTTCCATTTACATGACTTGTGTAAAATCACAATTCCCTTATATTTATTACTGTGGTAGCCCTAATATACAGTATATTAACAAAACATTATAAGATAGACTTAATTTATGAAGCAATAAGATGTTATGCATGATGGAAGTACGTGGATGTATTGTTAACATTCAGTGTAGGCTGTATTTCACTTCAGAAATAATAAAAAGAGCCAATCAGTGTAAAGTAACACTGCAATTTAGTCAAGATAGAGGTGGAGATAAAGGTTAATTATGATTCTGAAGTCAAAAGGCAGCAGCTGCAGCACATAAATCAGATAATTCTGATGCAGCAGTGAACAGCAACCAAAATGCACAGTGAGAACTCACTTGAACTTGGTGGCCTGAGTCTCTACTGTGACTGAGAATCCAAGGACACCTGATGTGTTTCTACAGGTTGGGTAGACATGATATCTATGAAAACAGATGGAGTACAACTAATGAAAACCAGCAACTGGAGCAAGATAAATGTCTTAATGTCATCTCTGCACCACAGACTTACCCCAGTGTCTCTTTGGTTCGGAGGAAGTCAAAGCATGGCTCCTCCATGTGCATCTACAACACAGCAGATACAAATGATAAAACAGGAGTTAAAAAAACAGTTAATATAATGCCACCCCTGTATGAACATACTTTAGTCTGCAGCCACAGCAGTATAATTGGACAGAAGTCTGATATTGGATTTAGCTGATGTAAGGTGCAGAGGAGTAAGAATTTCTGATTAATTGGTTAATAGCTTTTAAAATTGCTATATTTAATGTGTGAAAAATAACATTTGCTTAGTTTAAAATAAAACAGAAAATGAAAAAAACATTTGTTTCAGTCGATATCTGGTACTTCCCAAAGCTGTTATCAGCAGCGATTCATCGTCAAAAATAAATAAATCGTTGGACCTTTAGAACAGTACATTACACTTTACAACGAGAGCCGACTCAGTGTTCTAAAGTAACTGCTGAGAAAGACAGAGAACTGGACAGCATCCAAAGTCAGTCTTCAGTATAAAAGTAAAGTGGATGAGTTGAGCTTATGGCCATGCAGATGTGTGTGCTCAGCGCCCTAGAGAGCAATAATTGAGAACTTCTTTTTAATCTGGCAGGAGGGACTGACTTGATTGCTTAAAAAACCATGGGGCAGCTGTTCCTATACTTTTTATACATGTATAAAGTTACAGTAATGTTTACTGTAAGCGATACCCTTCTGTAGTCAGCCACCAAAACTAAGTCATACTCACCACTAGTAGCTCCATAAGAGTGTGTTCACGCAGGTTCTTAGGACCAGACTACCAAAAGACAGAGGCAGATATTAGGGACAATCACTGCTAATTTAGGAATACAACATAAAAAAGGTGAATATGCCTAGATGTCTTGTCCATTTTGCTGATCTAAATCACAAAACAAGTTTTACCTGGTAATACACAGTGACCTCAGAGTTTGCATCTCCCTTGTTGAGAGACTTCACTTTGCACAGATGATGTTTCTGAGGAAGCTCTACCACTCTGAAGAGAACAGGGACCTCTACTGACAGCTTCTTGAATTGCAATTTGCTGAAAGTGAAAAAAACAAATGCTTTATAAAACTTTTTCTATTTTTTTTTTCAAATTGTGGTACTGCTATACAAAATAAACTGGTGATAAAAGTGCTTACTCTGTAACATACTGCAAAAATCCCATAGATTCCTACAGGTGATGAGAAATTAAAAATGTCAAAATCTTAGTTTTTTGACAGATTAACTAGTTCTGACAGTAAAATTAAAGCTTTTTGCTTTTACAAGTATTATATAATATTCTAGGTGTACATCAATACAAGGTAAGATCTATCAGAAGCAATTGTGGGATATTTTGAACCTGGAATGTTCTTGAAAAACAAATACATGCAATGTGTATATAAAATGTGAGAAAACTCACAGTGCTAGTGAAGTTTCCCTGCACTAGTCCTTCAGCATATAGCTCTGACTTGAAGCTGCTCACAAACTCCATGAGCTCGTCCACACTGAGCCCATCCAGCACAGCTTGGTACTTCTGAATGGTCGACCAGCGAGAGTGCTCTAGAATCTGAAGCCTCACGTCTCTGATGAGACATATATGAACAGACAGAGAGTGATGAGTGGAGGTATGCATTTTTGAAAAGAAATACATAGCAACAGCTATATAGACGCTGGCATATGGGTCTGCGGGGGTTGCAGTGGGACCCATGGTGTTCCAAGCCAAATATATCATGCTTCATTTAGCCTATTCTAGAGCAGTTTTGACACTACATCACTGTAGAAGCTGCATCAACGTGCCACATGCTACCATTCAAAAGTCTGGGGTCAATAAATTTCTTGAGCACCAAATCAGCTTATTAGAATGATTTCTGAAGGACCATGCGACAAAGATTGCAGTAATGGCTCCTAAAAATGCAGATTTGAATAGTAATACGTTTCAAAATATATTAAAACAGGAAACAGTTCTTTTAAATTGTAATAAGATTACAGTTTTTATCCAGCATTTTTTATTAAATAAATGCAGACTTTGTGAGCAAGGAATTCTTTCAGAAACATTTCTTAAAAAATCTTACTGACCCCAAACTTATGAACGGCAGTGTATAGACTAGTATTTAGACAGATGTTTTAAGGTGGCATAAGGTGGCATTTATTTATACAAAATCACAATTGCAAGAAAGAAATGTCACATGCTCGAATGTTGCAAACCATAGAATGGCAGTGTAAAAACGCTGTAAATATGCTTGAAAGACTTGCATTCCATCAGATCGTTCCATCATCCATCAGATTTGCATTTTCTAAATTAAAGAAAACTTAAAAAATTAACAAAAAAATTGATAAGAGTGCCGGTGTACGATGCCACTACTTGTGGGCAGGGCTATAGGTGTTTATAAAGTGTAAGTGCAGTAAAGGAAAAACGTGAAGGAGACACACTTTCCAAGCTTTTCAGGCTTGATGAGGATGTTAAAGTAGGTTTTCTTCAGCTGCTCTGCAAACATGCTGAATACATCAGGAGCAGCAGAGAAATCAGCAAGATAATCCACGATCAGGTTGAACAGCAACTGCAACAAATGTCAGAAATGAAAGAATTTTTTTATTTTTTATTAAACCATTTTCTGTATACAACTTGATATGAGCTTGTTACTTACCGGTAGTTTGTGGTTGAAGCCCTTAACCTTGATGACAAGACCATGCTCCCCTGCAACAAATTTATATTCTAGCTGGGCCACATCAGCCTCGTAGGATGGATCTGCCAAGTTATGCACCAGGATATTCACAAACAGGTCAAAAAGCACCAGGCTAAGTGGAGGTGAGAAGAGAGAACAAAAAGAGAAGGTCAGATGGAAAGGTAAGTGGATGAACAAGAATAGAAACTAGAGATAGTGATTCCCAAGACCTGAGCAGACACACTAATAGCTAGATGGGTTTTCCATGGCTACAGCATTTAAAAGATCTGCTCGAACGACTAAGTTTTCACATGATCTTCAGCTTACTTTTTTGCAGACTTCTGAACCACAGGTGATATAAGGTGGAACTGCACGTATGCTGCAGGAAGAGAGATAAAACGTAAGTGTGAGCTGGGTAATTGAGCAGAGTTACAGAAAGAGATTTTTCGTACTTCCCACTCAATCTATTTTGCTATTGGACATCGGAGACATGATATATTGCGTGTAGAGACAAACACAATGACACCTTTGGGGATCTTGAACTTGTTGTCCTTCTTATACCACAAACACCCTCTGTCATTGTTCATTATTTTGACAGGGTACTCTGTGTCTGGACAGTCAGAGGTTTTGAGGGTGAAATCAGTGGCTGGAGGTGAAAAGAGACACAAGAACAATGGCACATGGTCTTGAAACTGGCTACAGAAACAGCACACAGCAACAACATTAAAAGACATCAACTGAAGACACCCACCGATGAACTTATTTTCAGCAGGTAGGTGAAGGCTTGGGTTTAAATCAAAATCTCCTGCCCAGAGCTCTCTCCAGTGCTGCTGTATGTCTGTAAGGGAAAAAAAATCATGGTGCTTTTGTCTCCAGAGTTGCACAATATAGAGGAAAAATGCTTAATGGTATTTATTGCATAATGTGATAACCCTAAGATTAATTAAGAATACATTTCAAGTAGATTTTAAACCAGGAAATAATTACTTCCAATAAGCATGTCAGTTTTCAAAATTGTCAACTTCTCAAGTGCATCCGAGTAAGAAATAACAAACCTTTTACTAAAGCAACAGGCAGAAACAGCTTGTTGTGCTTGGACTTAAGATGTATTTCCCATTTGAGTAACCACCTACAATCTACTAGTATACTAATATCAGTTATGCTTTCCTGCAGTTATGTTCAAAACCAAAATACTCCTACACAACCAAGGTACTTCTTAATTTTGGCATCAGATATTCTTTTAAAGCTACAATGGCTACACTGACTCATTTTGATAAGCTAGAGCACATTCACTTCAAACTGGCATTAATGCTGCTTGTTTTAAGTGTATGTAAATTTATATAATTTTGTGATTGAGCTTATTGCGACAAGTAAATCTGCAATGTTTACAATTCAGCACTGGATTCTGACATTCACTTCCAGACTAATCTAATACGGACACAGATTCTAAGATATCAAACTTTAACTTCTCATCCTGAATATTGTATTTTAAACTGAATTGAAAATATGTACAAACCCTCTACACTGTACTGAGTCCCAAACCACTTTTCCCTGAGTGGGCACTGGCCTTCATGCTCAGGAGACAACAGGAGCAAGTTAGCCTTCTTTGGTGTGAGGAGGTGCAGTGCAACAGAGATCACCTAAGAGAAAAAAAGATTTTCTTTCACTTGGCATGCTAAAATCGAGTGTTGGTTGTCAACGGTTCAGAAGACGTGAAATAAAGTGCGTGCATCTGTAATAAAACGTCCCTCACACGGCTCCGGGGCTTGAATAAGTGAGGCACGTTTTATTACGGATGCACGCACTATTTCACGTCTTCTGAACTGTTGACAACCAACACCCGCTTACCCCCCCCCCCCCCCCCCCAACCAAAAAAAAAAAAAAAACTTCAGGTAAAGGGGCCTACCTCTGTTGGGGCCCAAGAGTCTGAAGCATTTTCAAATACTGGAAGACGAGATGAGCAACCTGAACGAAGAAAACCATCCAAATTACCATGGATGCATTTATTCTGAGTGGGACTAAACTTTACAGCAATCGTGTCGTTATAATTTAGGATGGAAAAGGGGTGTGTTTGTGCCTCAGAGGCTTTGTAATCCGATTTTACACATATCTAGCTAAGCTGTTAGTTTCTCAGCTTCCCCACATATTTCTCTAATGACATTAAGTGTGAAAACAATATTATATCTTAAGGATGCTTGTAAATATAATGCATAATTTTGACATGCACTAGTAGTGTAGGATCACAGAAATGTAAAAGAATGGAAGGTCTAGACTGATGACCCTTGCAGACCTCATAGAAGTTCTGGAAGCCCTCATCAGTCAGAGTTATTGAGATACTAAAAATTGAATAGGTGGTGTTCTGATCAAAACCAGTCTCACTGTTTCCGCCAAACAAAGCTAGAGCCCAGCACCTAGACCGAGAGAAAGAGATTAAATTTCCCAGTTTCTGGGGTAAGTGCAAAATTGATGCGACATGTAGAGATTAGTTACAATGAAAGTAGAACCACCTTGCCATTTATTAAAAACCAAATCATGAGAGAAAAGACTCACTTCCTCCTAAGCATGGACAAGATACTTCCAGTTCCCTCATGGCCAATCAGCCAAGCAATGTAATGCAGAGGCTTTACCCTGAGGACCAACATAAAGAGTTTTTGTTAAGCATAATTTTTGAGAAATAATATTGGCATTCCAATACAGACCATATTGGACCAATACAAAATCAATATGTAAAGTTTTTTTATGAGTGCAGTTTTGTTCTGTGACATATTTGCTACTGATAAAGGAAGTTGAGGTGAGACATATCAAAGACATGGATATACAAAGATGCCCTCAAAGCGAACAAAGACTTTAAAAAAATAAAAATAAAAAATAAAAAACTCCCAATTTTGAATTTCATTTGTTTTTAACAGCACTTTTGAAAGATGTTTTATGAATGAAAGTAAAATGACTGATGACTGAACCTGTAGTGCTTCTCTTGCGGGGGTAGAGCCCATGTGATGGTGAGGGCATGTACTTTTCTAACAGGCACCACTGCAACAAACAACAAACAAAACATTAATTGTAGGTTCTAGAGTTTCATTAAACCTCATTTGAACATTAAGTTCTACTACATACTTCGGTAAAGTTTGTTGAAAGCAGGTGTTTCAAAGGGGCTCAACTGGTCTGAAAAATCAGGTTTTGGCTTCCCACTGAAAGGCATTGAGAAACTCATTAAAAATAAACGCATTAATATTATGAAAGACATTGAGAAACTCTTTAAACACATTAATATTTTCACATTTTACAGATATTCAAATAGGACTTGGATTGAGCTTACTTGTTGGGTACCTGACTGAAGATTTCTCTAACCCATTCCTCAAGGGTGTCAAGACTCTCTATGAAGGTAAGAGTAGAAGAGATTTTAGGATCATTTTCTATTAGAAATGCCATATCCGAATTAAGTCCTGCATACTGTACCTACCTTTAGACTGCACAGCTAAGGTCATATAGTGGGCAGAGTAGTACCTTTTCCAAAACTCACGGAGCCGCTTGTAAACATTGATATTCTTTTCCCTAGGCTCAGTCTTCAGGGTCAGTGCATTTCCTTAAATACAATCACAAGACCATCAAAAAAACAACAACAACAACTTTAGAATAAACCCAGAAGCTACTCTAAAGCAGCTTTTGACATGTTTGACTTACCCCAGCAGAACTTGCTCATGGGATGGTTGGGCTTTGCTAGGCTGCCAAAGAGCATTTCCTTACGGTGAGAGTCTGAAGGCTTAGCAAGCTGATATTCTGTAGCAAACAAAACACATTAGGCTGTTAAACTTCACAGTTGAGATATCAAGAATATTTTTAATCTACATAATATAAATGCTTTACTCACCACTGTCCACAGCCTCAACCTCTCGATCAATGGCGTCTTCAATCATAAGAGGACAGACGAAAAACTGAGCCCATCTGAGTTAACATTAAAAAAGATAATCACGTTATTTTAAAGCTTATGTATGACCAAACATATAAAGAAATGTGCTTGTTTTTATTTTAATGCTTTTGGTTAGAAAATACGATCACTTTTTTTTTTTTTTTTAGAGCTGCTTCACCTGTCAAGGGCTTCTTTGAAGCATTTCCTCTGGACATCAAATTGGAAAATGGTTCTCTCACAATCAGTGGAAGCATTATCACTGCCACCATGCTTTTTAAGGAACGCATCAAAGCCATTTTCAGAAGGGTACTTTTCGCTGCCCATGAACACCACTGGGACATAAGTAGAGAGATACGTTTGACTGAAACATTATCACTGAGAACAAAGCATTATTGAATACAGTAATGGCAAACAACTGCAGGTGTGACTTACTGTGTTCCAGGAAGTGTGCAAGGCCAGGTAGGTCATTAGGGTCGCTGAAACTCCCTACGCCAATACACAGGGCCGCTGCAGACTAATTTCCAAAAAAAAGAAAAAGGAAAAAATAATTAAACTGCACTGAAATCATTTCAACACACTTAAGCTGATATGTTTATGTAAAAATTATAACTGATAATTTAGTTTTATATTACATTGTCTAAATAGAAATAGAAAAACACTACAAACTAAGATCAGTCATTTTAAATACCACAAATGAATTTAGACATCAAAACATTATAATGTACAGTAATGACAAATGAATATTCATTTTGAGATTTGCTAAATATTACATGAACAGGTGCCATTAAATTAAATATAACAAAATATCCAATACTGATAAAGATAAAATATAGAAATATCATGTATCCTTCAAGTCACAATGAAATGGAAGCAGTGACAGGTCCGAATGGAGCAGATTATTAAAAAAGAAAAAAGAAAAAAAACGTATGGTGGACTTGTATGTAATGTATTGTATTGTATTGCAAGATTGTATCTATCAGTTGTTGACTGGATGGAGGTAGAACTGAATGAGTGTTTCAGTCGACTGTAAGAAAGGGGCTGGGTTTAAGTGGACAAAATGATTGGCAGGAAGATCGTTAAGACAGTTTGGCGGGGAAAAAAAGAAAGAAAGAAGGAAACATGGATAAGTAGGATTTTTCTTTCATGCTGACTTTAATATATGTTCAACCAAAATAACATGCAGCCAGTATCAGAGTTTGAATCCCTAGACAACAAAACACAAACCTGTTTTTCAGATCCCTTTTTCTTCTTCCTGTCGTTGTCCTCGTCAAGCTCCTCAAAGTCACTATCTTGACTGTCCCCTTCTTCTTCAGATTCCTCATCCGTTCCTTCCCCCGAGTCTCCCTCCTCTTCCGCTTCCTCTCCCTCCTCTTCTTCCTCCTCCTCCTCCTCTTCTGAATCTTCATCATCTTCAGTTTTCCCATCTAAATCACTCAGATCAGAGATTAGGAGAGCCCTCAGTCCGTTACTTAGCTCAATGTATCTGGTTGAAAAGAGAGAGAGAAAAAAAATCTGTTAGCTGGTTTAGTCATCAGCACTTGCATGCAGGGTTGTGTTACACACTCAAAAAAATGCAACTGGAGCTTGTGTTTTACTTGTGTGATCTCATATTTCTGCGAACTCCCTGTCCTTAAGTGCCAACATACAATATCATTCATAATGTAAAATGATCTTTTAAAAGGTTTCACTTGGCACTTTATGAACGAGACTATGCTAATCAATAGAACCTAGTTATCACAGTTTAAAATCTGTACATGTGGACTTTACCTGTATTGTTTGGGGTCACTTGGAGATTTAATAATTTGAGGGTCTCCTTGGTTGTCATCTCCACCACTGTCCCCCGGAGGTGCGTTGGGGTCTCTGAGTGCTTCACCCCGGTCTGGACCAGCAGACTGAGCAGCACTGCTGGCTCCAGCACTTTTGAACTTGTTTGTCTGGGGCATCTTGAGCAATGATACTACTTTAGCACTGGCGTTGAGGTGAACGGGGCGGTTTATGACTCTGCTACAAAACAGGTGAAACGTACGCGCAGCCTTGAACAGAGCAATACTGACTTTGTCAGTCGAAAAGAAACGATATGTATATTAGAAACAGGGTGACCATAAAAATAAATACATTTTGTAATGTAGCTTGAATGATGGAATGAGTCGGGTCTGTCTTTTGACGAGGGAATACTTTAACTTCAGATACATATTTTGACAGTATATATTTGTATCACCACTGTGCTACAATGAAGCTAATCTGCTACATAGTGACACAATATAAACCAAAAACGTCTGATTCGCTTGCTATGGTTACTAAACGAACTTCGATAGTTCGTCTAAAATATGATGCATCCAAGTGTGATCAGTCCCTCACATTATTTCACAAAGTTAGCCAAGTTTCATCGCAGTCTCATACCTGCTATCCTGATGATGGGTCAGCCGAACCTTACAGCACGCAGCCTGTCACTGGTAGCTTGCGTCTATGCAACAAGAAGAGTTCTGATTCGTCAAAGGTCATAGACGTAGTAAACCACGAATCTATGATTGGCCAAAGTCCTTGCTAAGGCAAATAGCTAGATGATGCTGTTTTGTCTGTCTCAGCAATTTGCAAGTTTATGTTGTGGTCTGTGGAGGTTCTTACAGTTGTCAGTCCACCACCGATTACTAAATTAGCGGCGAAACTGTAATTACATCATGTCTATATTATTTTCTATCTTTTAGTAAATCCCAGAGACTATAATCCAGTCGCCCTTAAATCAATTAGGCTACTTGTTAAATACAAGCGTGCATACATACTCAGGGATTTTGGAGTTAAATCATCCTGAAGAAAAGGGTGTACAGAATTGGTAAGACATGTATATAACTCAAGATGTATTCGTGGCAACTTAAATATACACATTCCCTTATTAATATACATGTATTTTAACCTTATATTTTGATAAGAAAAGTTTATGGACATGCTATACAGTATACACCAACCACCCAAACACATTTATGAATTCATATGACCTTTAGAAGAACTGTAATGATGATGAGTCTAAGATTGTCTTGACTACCAAACTTTTAAAGCCATTGTTAATCCTGTAAAGTTTTATATATATATATATATATATATATATATATATATATATATATATATATATATATATATATATATATATATATAATGTATGTGTGTGTGATTTAGATTTTGTTTTGTATCATATTTGATACATCAGGCTTTTATGGCTCATAAAGTATCATTCAGTGAGAATATGGAGCTCACACTTGAGGAAGAAAAACACATTGGTTTTATTCAGATGGCCAAACTGAGCAAAATATGCAATTTCGTTCAGATGTTGTTATTTATATGTCCAACGATTAAGACTAAATTCTGATTAAAAGCTTCTAATGCAAATCAAAATGAGATTTTTATAACAGTAAAACAGGCTGCTTACATAAAGAATCTTGAGCAAATAATCCCAATAAATGTAATTAAATGCATCAGATACATGCAAACATACTTCAGTAAGCTGATATACACAGGCAGAGCTTAAGTGTCCTTTTGAACCTTTATTCCTTTCCATTTAATCACCAACAGATACCATGTGAAAGGAGAATGAATGATAAATACCACACCATGACAACCAGATGTGGAACAGTTATACTGGTAAGCTGAACTGTCATTATACGACTTTCAAGAGTTAAGAGTAGGCTAACACAGTGTTTTCAGTCACATATCACATCTTTGCTGCTGCTGTGGATGAGACCAGTTGGCTTGTGTTTGAGTCTCATGTAATGACTGACTGCGACTCTCTCCGTCAGTAGGGGGAGCTCTCGTCGTGTCTTATTTTCTGCTTCATTTAGTGTGTGGCTGCTTTGATGTAATCTTTTAACATTTCAAGTATGATGCTTCACATGATAAGAGGTGATTTCCCTTGGAGCACTACTCCTGTTTTGCGAAATGCTGTGTCACAACATTTGGAGTTTAGGTCTGGTGGGTTTCAATTTTTAACAAGATGCTTTTGACAAGGAAATGCACTCGAACAGACAAACAGATGAGACACTGAAAAAGTCATTGTGATAACATTGATTTATGTTAAGGATAATAAAAGTATGGCTATACAAATTTGTATACTCAAAATGATTACTATAACACAAAATATTAACTGTGCAACATGGACAGTGGAAATGTTATTCTATATTAGAAATGAATACTGATTTTAATGGATGAACATACACGTAATAATAGATGATTATGCTATTGTGTCCCACTTTACTTATAGTGACCCTATTGAATGGTCCTTAGTGGTTTTATGGAAATATTTAACATGATTTAACATAAGATTCAGTCACGGCATTCACCGGTCAGATATTTCCTACTATTTGCGGTCGTCCATGGCAACACTGTATATCTGATAACTGAACCAGTGCTACTTTCCTCAGAGCACATTGGTATTAATATTATTGTAACATTGCTGCAGTGTTTGAGTTGTTGCTAGGCAGATTGTTTTGTAAATTTTATTATGTATATATATATATATTATGTATATAACAAATATCTGTTTATTTTATATAAAAAAAATAACTCTAAAAAATAAAATGCATATTTTTTGCATTTATGTGTTCATTCATGTGACTGCTGCATGAATTAAAAGGGCTTCTAAAATAGCACCCTTCATCCACTGCACTTAATCCACCAGGAGTTTACATAGGGACTCCAAAGGACAGGTTCCCATGGCAACTGATTTATATCCTAATTAAAATAGGAGGGTAGTTTAATTAGCTTAACACTGGTTATTGCTCAAGGCCGACCGTCCTTGGTGGAGGTCCATGTGTGTAAGGAGAGGGGTCATTGCTCTGTGGTATCCACGAGGTGCACCTAACTAAATAGTAACAGCACCTGTGGATCCAGATACCCCCCCTTTCTAGCACTTCAGTGTCAGCTACGCCCTTCATCATCTGTTTTCTAAAGCTCTAATTAATGACCAGCTTCAGGCTAAATGAGCTTCAGATGGCCTGACCATCAGATTACATCTCATGATTTTTATTTATTTATTTATTTTTCTCTTGGAAAAATTACACCTCTAATTGGGTCTCTTCAGTTGTCGCAAATTGAGACAGTTGATTTTGTCAAACAATCTTTGTTGGTTTCATGTGAGGGGGATTTATAATTGAACAGAGTGCTTGAACTGATTTGTTAATTAGTCAAAGGTGGTGGAAATCATGTAAATCCTCAATATAATCATTCTTCAAACAAAGCTAATCTTTTGTAATAATATTAATTACACACAATTACTTGCTTCAATTGATCAGTATGTGAAAACCATTCATGGCTATTATACTATTATGGAACGGAAATTGAATTGTTTCTTTGAAGACGATTGAAATATGCTTGAGGTCAGAATCTGGCATTAGTTTTCAGAGACGGTTGGGTTTCTGGACCCCATTACTATCTTGTCAATCACTGTGCCTTCTTCCTCCTGCACAATATGATGGCTGCAAAAAAATGGATATCCAGCACAACATACCTTTAATAGTGAATAAAGTCGTATAAAGCCTCATAATTTCAACCCCACAATTCCTAATAATTTGTTTGTTTGTGTCTTTTCAGCTTTTCTTTTCTTCAAAGGGCTCTGGTAAATAGTCTTTCAGCAATTTGATGGGAAAAACACTGCTTTAATCACCTTTAACAGGCTTTAGAAGAGAAGGGAAGCTGCTGTCGCAAGCTAATTCACTGGAACATGTTCAGATCTGTAGCCCTGATCTGTGTGACGGCATTAAAGATTTTTTTAAGGATCTTCAGGAAAATGCTTTAATGCTCAAAGGCACAGAGAGCTGCTGAGACAGAGTATTAACTAGCTTTAGCTGCGGATTCTCTGTTACCTGTGGGAAATTCACAATAAAGGGAAAAGTAAAGTCGATATGCTTGTGTGTTCAGAATATTCCTTCGGATATATGTGAGGAATTTAGTGGTTTCATTAGCCGTTTGCTTTGGTTTTAATGCACAAAACCGTGATTGAAGCTTGCAGCATGGTATATTCCACAATAAACCAAAATGGTCAGATGAGAAATCACGATTATTTATCTGTGCATATCACTGTCAAATGACAAACTCATTATGAAGTAATTAACTGGTGATTTATAAGATAATTAATCAGCCATATGAGAAATCAGCAAAAGTGGGCATCAAGTCAACATTGTTCATTCTCAGTTCCTAAATAAGCAACATGCCCATGTATGAAGCACCACATTGTTGCGCAATAGCAGATGGCACTATGTTTCCATGGTAACCAAAATAAGGTTTCATTAAATTGTTAGGGCCCTAATACCATGAAGGATGATGAATAAGTAACCCAAGAAGCCTCATCGCTCTGGGAACAGTTACAGTATTATTTAATAATACGAGAATGTTGTGATACAAAGTAAATAACCCGCATTACGCATTATGGGTACAAACTACTTTCTTTCGCAAATCTAACAAATATGTCTAGGAGAGCGAGAGTAACATATTTAAAGCGCATTTAAAAAAAGCCCTGCTAAACCTGAAACGATGTGTAGCGCGCCGACTGCTGCGTTCATATTCTTCTCAACATCTCGAGCATATTTGGAGCGTTTCATAGCAGGGCTGCGTGCGGGCGGGCGCGCTCTCGGTTCAGTATATTTTACTTGGAGACCGAAGTCCGAGGCAGCGCCATCCTGTGATTTATTTCAATGCCAAGTTGCATACTTGAACCGGCTTAGTTTTTCTTACTGTTGCCGAAATGTGCTAAGATCTCGCTCATCATCAGTCCTCACAGTGGTGCTGAACTGCAGCCTTCGCTGTCTTCACTGTTGAGCGCTCGTCAGGGGAGCGGACCTGCATCCTAAAGCAAACCTTTCTGAGACATTGCAGTCCTGTCACGTCTTCGGCTCTCCTATTTGCCTCCACCACGAGAGCGGAGAGGAGAAGGAGGAGAAGAAGAAGAAGCGGCGGTGACATGGCAAGAAGCATCATTTAAAGTGGTCCATCTTCTGCTCTTTTAATTCCACTGCAGCAACCTGAGTGAGTAGCGCACATTTCTGCTCAGTTAATGCCTCTTGATATGGATCCGGACGCGGGCGGTGGTAAAGGCAGACAAAGGGGAATGCGAATAGATTGCATTTTAGCGCATTGGATTATCATTGTGTGTTAATTGTGTCTCTGACAGCGTAATATAATGGCATGAATCGCTCTTGGTTAGCTAATTAACATTGTGTTCAGCTTCCATAAGTTAATCTTTTTCATGCAGTGCTTGAATGGTTTCCTTATATGTCTGTATTGCATACTCAGTTCAAAGCTGGATAGATCTACATTATTTCAATGACCTGCATGCACATATACTTCTTCAGTAATCAATAGAACCTAGGTCTTATTTACATCACATTCCTAAGTGCCCTGCTGTGCACATTAGCTAATAGGTGCTCCTGGAGGAGGGGAGAAAGAAATATTTTCCATGGAGGTCAAATTGATATTCCAGAGTCATTAGTTGATTTGGAAACTAAAGCGAAACCTCTAGAGAAGTATGATGCCTTTAAATGGATTAGGTCACATTTTGCTTCTTC